CCCATTCTTGTCCCCAGCCTACTATTTGTTCTTGTAGAAATATTTTATATACTTACAAGCAAAATGAATGTTACTTTTTTCCTCTTTTATACAAAGTTAGCATACTAAGTTCTGTATCTTTCTTTTCTGTCTAGTAATTCTTCAAGATAGTTCCATATCAATTTACCAATATTTCCTTAATTTTTATTAGGACTGTATGATATTAGAAACACATATGGTTGTGAACATTGGGCACTGAACACATTCACAGTCTATGATTGAATTGCACCCCTGGAATTATTGAACTATAATCAAATGCAGCCTGCTTAATGGTGGATATTTAAATATTTCTAGTTTTTTTTTTTAAATTGCAAACACTGTTACAATGAATAGTTATTTGATTCTATGGGATAATTATTTGGAGCATATCCTTCTATTAAGTTCTTAAGTATGTGTAATAACTATCAGTCTAACAATTATATATATTCTTAATTTATTAAAGAATTTTAAAAAATTTTGTAATTTTTTTATTACTTAAAGAGAGGTACCATATACTAAGTTATCTTATCCACACTCTAACCTTAGGATGGGCTGGAGTGTTTCCCAGATTCTGCCAGATTCTGTTTTCCTTCAGTGCTTTCACAATCTTTCTGAAGTTCTTGATAATGAAAGAAAGTAATTGTTATCCAGATGCATTTAGAAGCAGAGATGATATTTATGCTGAGTTATAGAATAAAATGAATTGTTATCTCAGCTTTAAGTGTTTTTTAAAAAATGAAATAGTTTACCTTTCTTTGCCCTCAAAATATGATCCTATTCTGTTGAAAACATGGAATGAGATCGAATATCTCCACTCAGACTTTGTTGAGTTAGTGTCAGGTAAAATAACAGAAAAATGTTCATTGTAAATTTTTGTGACCCATAAAAGATACAATATGTCAAAAATCAATCCATCTCCCTTCCTCCCCGAACCCCTCCCTCCCTCCCTCCCTCCTTTCCTTCTATCCTTCCTTCTTTCTTTCCTTCCTTCCTTCCTCCCTTCCTCTGGAATCCTGTGCTTCACATATGGTAAGTAGGCAAGCACTCTACCACAGTGTTATGCCCCCAGCCCCCAAGAATTTTTTAAAAAGCCATTGCATACAGAATTCAAAAACTGGGGGCTGAGGATGTAGCTCAGTGGTAGAGTTCAATCATCAGCACCACAAAAACAAAACAAAACAAAAAGGGAATCATCCTATTTGATATTAAAGTGAATCAGTCAATTGATTTCTAATGATTCAAGTTTCATTTAGTGTCTTGGTTGCTACTTTGTAAACACTAATGAAATGGAATTTTTCACAACTTTAAATTTTTTCTACTTAGCTGATATTTCATAAAACTGGACAGCTTTTAATTGGGAAAAAATTGTAAATTATTCTCTAGTTAGGAAATCCTCATTTTTTACCATGTCTTTAGATGAAATCACTGAGGTAAGGGAGAGAAACCCCTTCTAGTTTTTCTGCGTAGCTTAGAGAATATCAGCTGAATTAAGAGAAAATTGACTTTTGGTATGGACGACTTAGAATTAGACATAGAAGGTGTGTTTTTACATTTCTTCTGTCTCTGACAGATTCAATGACTGAAATTCTAGGAAACTGGAGGACAAAATACTTTCTACCATAGTTTTCAGAATTTATAGTGGACAAGGAGGATATTTTGGGAAAGTTTATAACAACTGACCAGTAGGTGATCATTAAGTTATGCTGTAGTGATTTTTAAAACAAGTGTTTTTTAAAACAAGTTTTTAAAGTTATAACTATAGTTCATTTTATTAGTCCATTTTCTGTTGCCAGTATTGTAATGCCAGAAAATGGGTGAATTTATAAAGAATTTATAAAGAGGTTAATTTTGATTCAGGGTTCTAAAGGTTCAAAGTCAATAGGCCATATCTGGTAACGGCCTTCTTGTGGTGCAAGGCATCACATGGCAAGAGATAGGGTGTGTGTGTGTATGTGTGTGTGTGTGTGTGTGTGTGTACACATGTTTTCTGGCTTCTTTCTCTCTTATAAAGCCAACAGGATTCCATCATGGGGCTCCACCCTAATGACCTTAATTGATCCTAATTACCTTTCAAAGTTCCAACATCTAAACATCACAGTCTATTAATTTTCCACTTTTGTGACATCTCACAAAGGTGATTACATTTTAACAAATGAAGTCTTGGGTTCTACCTTAGACAAATCATAGTGTTAACATACTAAGGAATTCACCCATTGAAACTACAGTTCAGTTGTTTTTAGTACATTCGCAGAATTGAGCAATCATTATTTCAATCAGTTTTCATTATCACAAAAGGGAGTCCAGTTCCTCTTAGCTGTAACTCTGTATTTCCCCCAAGTTTAACAACCTCAGGCAATCACTAATCTTTCTATCTCTAAATTTACCTTTTTGGAAATTTCTTGTAGAAGAATTATACAATATGTGGTCTTTTGTGTCTGGCTTTCTTCATTTAGCAAAATGTTTTCAAGGTTCGTCCATATTGTATCCTGTACCAATATGTCATTCCTTTTCTTTGCCAGATAATATTCTATTATATGAATATGATCATATTTTAATTATCCACTCATCAATGATGAGTATTTGGGTTGTTTTCACTTTGTGGCTATAGAATGATGTTGTTTCATACATTAATGTAAAAGTGTGCATGTAGATATTTTATTTGTTTTAAAATATGGTACTGGACATAGAACTTGGGGCCTTGTATATGGTAAGCTTTAACACTGAGCTGCGTCTCCTGGCCCCATAAACACGTTTTAATTTCACTTGAGTATATACCAATAAGTAGAATTTCTGGATCATATGGCAACACTGTTTTATCATTTGAGGAACTGCCAAATTGTAGTGGCCTTACCAGTTTACATTTTAGTAGTAGAGCATTAACTTCTAATTTCTTAACAGTCTTTCCAACAATCATTTTTATGTCTTTATTGATTATTATAGGTATCGAGTGGTACAAATTACTATCACATTGAAATTTTGATTTGCATTTTTTAATGGCTAATATTATGGAATATTTTTTCATGTGCTTTTTGGGCATTGTATGTTTTCTTTGGTAAAATCAAAGATCTTTTGCTCATTTTAATTGGTTTGTCTTTTTATTATTAATTTATAAGGATTCTCTACATAGTTCAGATAAAGACCCTTTATCAAATATATGATTTGCAAATATTTTTTGCCCATTCTTTGGATATTCTTTACTTTCTTGATGTTGTGCTTTGAAGCACAGAAATTTTTAATTTTGATGAAATCTAATTTATGTATATATATTTTGCTGTGCTTATGCTTTTGTTGTATCTAAGAAACCATTGCCTAAGCCAAGGTTACAAAAATTTACACCTATATTTTCTTTTGAGTGTTTTATACTTTTAGCTCTGAAATTTAGATCTGTGGTTCATTTAGAGTTAATTTTTGTGTATGCATCATTCTTTTTTTTTTTTTTTTTGCCTGTGGAAATCTAGCTGTCCCTGTACCCCTCTGTTGAGGGTACTTTTTGTTCTTATTGAATAGACTCATAGAAAATCATTTTCCCTTAAGTGTGAAGATTTATCTGGGCCCACTACTCCATTGATCTCTATGACTGGCCATATGTTTATATTTATTATCTTGAGTACCGAAGCTTCTTAGAAAGTTTTGAAATCAGAAAAAGTAAGTCTTGCAACTTTGTTCCTTTTTCTGGGACTTTTTTGATAATTATTCTGTTTCCCTTATTATCATATGTATTTTGTGTTGTCTTGTCTATCTTGCAGAAATACTGGCTGAGATGTCAATATAAATTATGTCAAGTTTGTAGTTTTAGTTAGGAAGGCTTGCTTTCTTAACAATATTAACTTAAAAAATTTTTTTTGAACATTAGTCAGTTTATTTGGGTCTTCGAAATTTTCTCTCAACAATGTTTTCTGGTTTTATAGTTTTAAGAGTATAAGTTTTGGGGCTTGGGTTGTGGCTCAGAGTTAGAGCGCTCACCTAGCATGTGTGAGGCACTGGGTTTGATCCTCAGCGCCACATATAGTAAAATCAAGACATCGTGTCCACCTATATCTAAAAGATTTTTTAAAAAAGAGTATAGGTTTTACATTTAAAAATATTTATTTCTAGGGGCTGGGGCTGTGGCTCAGTAGTAGCACACTTACCTGGCATGTATGAGGCACTGGGTTCGATTCTTAGCACCACATAAAAATGAATAAGTAAAGATCTATCATCAACTAAAAATAAAAAAAATTTCTAAATTTTGTTATGCTGTTGTAAATAGTATTTTTTTAATTTTATTTTTGACTTGTCATTGGTATACAGAAATATAAGTGATTTTTGATGTTTATCTTATATCTTATACAAAATTCATTTATTAGTTTTCTTTTTTGTTTTAGTTGTAGATGGACACAGTACCTTTATTTTATTTTATTTATTTTTATGTGGTGCTGAGGATTAAACCCGGTACCTCACATGTCCTAGGCAAGCACTCTACTGCCCAGCCACAACCCCAGCCCTCTTTTAATTTTTGTTTAGTTGTAGGTGGACACAATATATTTGTTTTATCTATCTATTTATCTGTCTGTCTATCTATCTATTTTTTTTAATGCAGTGCTAAGGATTGAACCCAGTGCCTCAGGCATGCAAGGCAAGCACCCTACCACTGAGCCACAAACCCAGCCCTTATTTATTAGTTCTACTACTTTTTTGTTGCATTCCTTAAGGTTTTCTGTATATAATATGATGTCATCTGCAAATAAAATAGTTTTACTTCTTCCTTTCTAATCCAAATTTTAAACTTTGTATTTATGTAATGTACAGAGTCTCCAGTATGATACTGAATGGATATCAGTAATAGAGTGGACATCCTTTTCTGACATTTGGGAGAAAGCATTCAGTTGTTGTGATTTTTCTTTTATTTTTTAATCCCTAAGAGGAATGGGCCATAGCTTTGCTTTGAAGACTGTTTTCCTTGATTTAAGATTTTTTTATTTTTTTTATTTTTACTTACACAGATATGTGCTGATTAGAAGGCTCACTTGTGCAGTGTGGAGGATAAGCAGTGCCTTACAAAAATGGGGTTTGGGAGTGACCTGAAGAACTCACATGAAGCTGTGTTAAAATTACAAGACTGGGAATTACGATTGCTGGAAACAGTGAAGAAATTTATGGCTCTGAGGATAAAAAGTGATAAAGAATATGCATCTTCTTTACAGAACCTTTGTAATCAAGTTGATAAGGAAAGTACTGTCCAAATGAATTATGTCAGCAATGTGTCCAAGGTAAGAATAATAATTTTATCACTTGTTATTTATAGCCTCACAGTTGTCCTTAAAGCAAATAGATCATATTATTGAATAAGCATATCCAAGTCTGCCTGTAGTGTTCTAAGTTTTCTCTGAATACTATTTTAGCTGCATCCAGGAAATTTTACATGCTTATTTGAATTTTCCTTCCTGTTCAGAACATGTCTTAATGTTTTTTGACTCACATTCTTTCAAAGTCTTTTATTTAATTTACAAATATTTGTTTTTTCCAGATACCTTTTTGTTATTCATTTTGAATTTAGTACCACTGTTTTTCTAAGAGCTTATTTTTAATAGCTTGAATGTTTTTAAATTTGTGAATATTTGCCTTTGATCAAGAATATGACCTGTCTTGGTAAATATTTCATGCACCTTTCTTAAGAATATGTATTCTGTGTTGTTGGTTGTAGTATTCCATAGATAGCGGTAGGTCAAGATGGTTTTTAGGGGTGTTCAGTTCTTTTAGTTCTGTTTCACTCAGTGTTTTCAAGAGAAACAGAATCAATGGGACGTATATTTACATAGATGCGTAACAAGGTATTTATTATGGAAATAAAGAAGCCCCACAGGCTGGAGAATCAGGACAGCTGGTGATGTTGGAAGGTCTGTGAATCAGGGGAGCTGGTAACACTCAATCTGAGGCCAAAGACCTGAAAACCTGGGAAGGCATTGGCATTAATCCCAGAGTAGAAAGGTCCCATAACCTGGAGTTCAGATGTCAAGGGCAGAGGCAAATATATGTCTCATCTCCAGAAGAGTAGTGAACTTGCCTTTCCTTGTCCTTTTTGTTCTAGTTCACTCCCTATGAATTCTCCTCCTCACTTTGGTAGGGACTGATTTTTATTCAGTTGACTGATTGAAATGCTAATCTCTTCCAGAGACACCTTCCCAGACCCAGATAATGCTTTACCAGCTATTTCAGCATCCTTTGTTGACCCAAATGGACATAAAATTAACTGTCCCAGTTTCTTTACTCAGTTTTGACCATCTGTTCCACCAATTATTGAGAGGGGTGAATTTTGAAATTTCTGATTATAATTATATGAATTTGTTTCTACTTGCAGTTTAATCAGTTTTACTTTTATTTTGAATATGTTTAATTTTGTGCTTAAGTTTAAAATTATGACTTCTTGAGAAATCAGTTTGTTTATTAGGTGAAAAATGTTTAGGATTTTAATGTTTTCCTTGTCAACTGATTTTCTTTATTAGTGTGAAATTAACTTGATTTCTGGTAATATTCTTTGCTGTAAAATCTACTCTGATATTATTATAATAACTTCAGCTTTCTTTTGATTAATATTTACATGGTATGTATTTTCATCACATTTGGTTGCTATAGAGTAGATTCTTGTATGTAGCATACAGTTGTCTTACTTTGTTCCTTAATATGAAAAATCACTGTCATTTAATTATTAAGTTTAGACTGTTTTCATGTAAATTGATTATTGATATGATTAGGTTGAAATTTATCATTTTTACCATTTATTTTCTCTTGGTTCTATCTGCTCTTTCTTTCCTCTTATTTTCCTTTTTCTCCCCTTCTTGTGGATTTTTAAAAAAATATTTTAAATTTAAAAGTAAATTTATTTTTAACTTAAAAAACCCCACAAAAATTATACTTTAAATTTAGGGTTATCATGTGATAATTTTGATACATTTATACTTTGCATTGTTTAAATCAGGTTAAAAATATCTCCTCAAACATTTATTTCCTTATAGTTATAAACACTTGAAGTTCTTTCTTCTAGTTTTTTAAAAATCTACAGTACATTATTGTTATCTATAGTCACTCAATAGTGCAGTAGCACACCAGAAATCTTAATCCTGTCTAGCTGATCCACCTTTTTCCATTTCTCCCCCCCTTACTCTCTACCCAGTCTCTACTTCTACTCTCAGCTTTTCTGATTTCACATACAAGTGAGCTCATACAGTACTGGTGCCTGGGTTTTTTTCACTTAACATAATGATCTCCAGTTCTATCCATGTTGTCACAAATGACAAGATTTCATCCTTTTAATGGCTGAATAGTATTCCATTGTATATATGTACCACATTTTCTTTATCCATTCATTAGTTTATGGACACTTAAGTTGTTCCCAATTTTTGGCTATTGTGAATAGTGCTGCAGAGAACATGGGAGTGCAGGTATCTCTTCAACATACTAATTTCGTTTCCTTTGGATATATGCCCAGTGGAGGAATTGCTGGATTGTATGCTAGTTCAGTTTTTAACTTTTTGAGGAACCTATATGCTGTTTTCTGTAATGTTTATACTAATTTACTTTTTCACTACAGTGTGCAGTGTTTCTTTTTATCCACATCCTTACCAGCACTTCTTTTGTCTTTTTGACAATGGCCATTCTGACTGGGGTTAGGTGATATTGTAGTTTTGATTTGTGTTTCCCTAATGATCAATGATGTTGAGCATTTTTTTCATACACTTAATGTCTATTACTCATTTTTAAGCCAGGGTTTTGTTTTGTTGTTGTTGAGATTTTTGAGTTCCTGACATATTCTGGAGATTAATCCTGTGTCAGATGTATAGTTTACAGGTTTTTTTAATTCCATTCTGTAGACTGTGTCTTTACTCTGTTTATTGTTTCCTCTTCTGTGCAGAAGTTTTTAGGTTTGATATAACCTCAATTGTCAATTTTTGATTTTGTTTTCTATGCTTTAGAGTCTTGTCTAAAAAATCCTTGCCCTTTCAATGTCCTGAAGCATTTCTCTAATGTTTTCTTCTAGTAGTTTCCTACTATCGCACCTTACATTTAAGTCTTCAATCCATTTTGAGATGCTTTTTCTAACCAGTGAATGATAGGGTCTAGTTTCATTCTCCTTCATGTGGCTGTCCAATTGCTTTAGCACCATTTGTTGAAGAGACTGTCCTTTATCTACTATGTGTTCTTAAAATCTTTGTTGAGAATCAGTGGGCTCTCCATGTGTGGGTTTATTTCTAGGGTCTCTATCTTCTTCCATTTGTCTGTGTCTATTTTTATGCCAAGACCATGCTGTTTTAATTACTACAGCTTTCAAGTATATTTTGATGTCAGGGTGTGTGATGCCTCCTTTTTGTTCTTTTTGCTCATGACTGCTTTGTCTGTTTGGATCTTTTGTAGTTATATACAGATTTTAGATTTTTTTTTCAAGTTTTATAAAGAACATCATTGATATTTTGATGGGGATTGCATTGAATCTGTATTTTAAAAATTATTTTTATCTCCTTTGTTATATTGTTACCTCTAACTTTTTCATTCATGGTTTCTTTAGCATTTATGGTACATATCTCTAACTTACTGAAAAATCTGTTTTGTAATATGTAGAACCTCAACTATGATAATAGTATTTTTACATCAGTATTATTTCCATTTCTCTTTACCTGTCTTTTGTGCTCTTATTCTCATACCTTTCAATATTATAAACCCCACAATATAGTATTGTTATTGCTTTTAATAGTTGATTACCTTTTGGATAATTTAAATAAAAACGTAAGTCTTTATATTTATTTACTTAGTTACCATTTGTGATCCTTTTCATTTCTTTGTGTATATCCAGGGGTTTTTTTCCTGGTATCATTTTGTTTTTGCATGAAGGACTTTCTTTAACATTTATTATAGTGTAGGCCTGCTGGTAATGGATTTTTTTCAGGTTTTGAACTTGTAAAAATATGTTGTTTTTGTTTTTGAGAACAATTTTAACTGTGTATAGAAATCTACTTTTTTTTTTCAATATTTTAAAGATGTTGCTATATTGTCATCTTGCATTATTTCTGGAAAATTTGCATCTAATCTTTTCCCTCTCTAGCTCTGCTTATGATTTTTTTCATTGTTAGTGCTTTTAAGCAATTCATGCGTAACTTCATGTTTCTTTATGCTTTTTGTGCTGTGGATTTGACTTTCTTGGACTTGAGGCTTATAGTTTTTATTGACTTCAGAAAAATTTCAGGTATTATTAACAATTTTTGTTTTATTCTTTATTTTCCTCTTGGGGAACTCCAGTTACATGTACATTTGGCTATTTAAAGTTGCCCCAAAGTTTGCTGATGCTGTGTTATTTATTTTTCTGTATTCTCTTAGCATTCCATTGTATTTAGTTTTATTATTCTCTCATTCCCTTGACTAATTTTATTTTTATTCAGTGTCTTATTTGTTGTTAATTCTACCTCGTGTATTTTTCATGTCAAACATTTTGCGTCTTTGGTTTCCTTTCATAACCTTATTCATGAGGTGAACTTTGTCTCTTTCTGACTCCTCCTCTTAAAGCAGAGTCACTGTCTCCCACGTCTTCTCTTCTGCTTGCATCATTTCTTGTTTTACCAACGTTTAAATTTAAATTCTATCAATGGACCATTCATTCATTTTCTTGTATTTGCCAAAACTTACCTCTTTCTTTTGCCCCATGTCTGTTTTGTAAGGTGGAGGAATTGGAGAGATCAAGTAGAATCAAGTAGTTGAGCCATTTTTTGGTTAAAGATGAGTGAGTCAACCAATAGTATAGCATAGAGGAAACAGTGACAAACCCACATAAATACAATTATCTCATACTAGACAAAGGTGCCGAAAACATTTTTGGAGAAAAGATAGCCCTTCAACAAATAGTGCTGGGAAAACTGGAAATCCATATGCAGCAAAATGAAATTAAGCCCCTATCTCTCACCATGCACAAAACTCAACTCAAAGTGGATTAAGGACCTAGGAATTAAACCAGAGACCTTGCACCTAATAGCAGAAAAAGTAGGCCCAAATCTTCATCATGTCGGATTAGGTCCCCACTTCCTTAATGAAGACTCCTAATATACAAGAATTAAAACCAGGAATTAATAAATGGGATGGATTCAAACTGAAAAGCTTCTTCTCAACAAAAGAAACATTCATGAGGTGAAAAGAGAGCCTACAGAATGGGAGCAAATTTTTACCACAGGCACATCAGATAAAGCATTAACCTTTAGGTTCTATAAAGAACTCAAAAAACTTAACACCA